GACGTGTGCTCTTCCGATCTGTAGATGTGTCAAAATGAAAAAAAATGTTTGAAATACGTAAAGTCTCATTATTTTTGCACGTGATTGTAGGGGAGGCGTCACCTGCATGATAAATCCAAGATGGCGGCTGAACCGGGCAAAAACCTATAGCTAGTATTACGAAGTGAAGGTTTTTTACTAGGTTTTTTACTTGGTGGTTTTACTACATCGAATCCCGTTCGATCAGACTTGATTGGCAAGCCAAGTATCCATTGCGAAGCTTTTGGATGCAAAATGAACAGGTTGTGGTGAATTAATATGACTAAATATCGGTCCTGAAGGTTGTATGGAATTGGTCATTTGGTCAGTTCCAGTGATTTGTTTGGGTTTAGTCAGTGTACATTGAAAAACAAGTTACAAAGCAAAGTTATATTATTTACCCTCTAGAAGCTGCTAATACACCACAAAAAGTACTCAGGATTCAGACGCAGCGTATAAAATTACGCAATTTTGAATAAATATATTGAATATTTATAAAATTTTGAATTTTTAGATTCATTAGAAGTCAACGTTTTTTCACGTATTTTAGGATGAGGTTTGAAGAAAATGTCGGGACTGCCAGAACAGATAAGCCAATTCTATAACATTTTTCATAGCTAATAATTAGTGCATGACGTAGCCTTATAATGATAGATTAGAGGATAGAGTTTCAAACACTTAAGTTAGAGAGTCAGTGTGAAGTGAATCTTAGTGTGAGACAGAGTGAATGTAACAACAGTGACAACAGTGATTTGTATAGCCCGTGCGCTAATTTGGGATATCGTGATTGTGAGAATTTTACCTTTTAATACTTTATTTTTATTGTGGATATTTTAATAAAACCTATAAACCAAAAAGAGTGATTGCGTCGAGAACTACAGTTCAACGGAGGGAACATTTTCGACATAGTGGCACCTCCTGAGCGGGATAACTGTACCGCCAGTTTATTCAAAGAACATTAAAGTGAACACTTGTACGAGTATGGAGAAAGAGATGACGGACCTGGAGACGAAGTTAACGCAGCTAAGCTTTGGAGTCAAAAGAACACAAGCCATTCTTGACTCAGGTAAGCGAGTAGCTATTAAGCGGCACCTTGAGGCGTTACAAACTACTGCAAAAGAAACGAACGAGTGCAAACGCACTGTCGAAGCAGCTAAAATAACCGAGAAGGAAGAACTTTCGAAAATTAACGAATGGAGTGACGAAATTGACCACAAATTTGACATAGCTGACGAGGCTATGATGCGACTTGAGAAATGGCTCGTCGACGCGGAACGAGCAGAGAAGTTTGTAACGCAGGAGGAGCAGTTTAAGTACGAGTTAAAGTTGCATGAGAAAAAGCTAGAAATGCAAGCTGAACTAGCGAACAGTCAAAAACTAAACCGGAAACTCAGGAATGCGAAGTATTTACCACGCAAAATGCGAAATTGCCAAAACTTGCTATATCGAAATTCGAAGGGTCTTACATGAATTGGTCCAAGTTCTGGGGTCAATTTTGCGAAGCGATAGACAAAAGCTCCATCGCACCAATAAGTTCAATAACCAAGTTTACCTATCTGCTAGAGTTGCTTGAACCGAAAATAAAACGTTGCATTGAAGCCCTTCCCTTCACCCCTGAGGGGTACAACCGAGCGAAAGCCATTCTCGAAGACAAATACGGCAAAGAATCGGAGATATTGTAAAATGCTACGTGAAGGCGATTTTAGATCTGCCTCATATTACGGGTACTAACCCACGTAAGATCGCAGAATTTCTTGAGAAACTAACGCGCTCTGTTCAAGCTCTCGAGACGATGGGAAAACTAAATCAGATTAGCAGGAATGTGTCGATGACTCTAGATAAATTATCTGGAATTCGTGGGGATTTGGTACGCACCGGCCCTGAATGGGAATCATGGGATTTTGGTAAATTAGTTGAAGCCATAAAACAATGGGTAAAAAGAAACCCCGTTACTAGTGTCGATAGAGAACGGGAAGAAAGCAATCGAAGGAGACTCCTTCATGCCCGTAATGAGGGATTCCGACCCCGGGGCTGTGTCTACTGCGGGGACCTTGGGCACAAAGCAACCCAGTGTGAAAAAATTACAGAACTAAGCGAGCGAAAGGGAATTTTGGCAAAGAAAGGTTTATGTTTCAACTGCGCGACGAAAACGCACCGCGCCTCAGACTGTACCAGCAAATCTGCCTGCGGCCACTGCAACAAACGTCATCACACTTCCATATGCGACCAAAAGAATGACAAGAATGAAAAGCATCCTAACCATAATAAGTTGATGACGGATGGAGTAAGTGGAGATGGCATATTTCCTGTCGTGACAGTAAGAATTAATGACATAATGTGTCGAGCTTTAATTGACTCCGGCGCCGGGAGCTCTTACGCAGCTGCCAAGCTGATTGACACTTTGAAGATAAAACCACGCGAGATTAAAGGCATAGTACAAAACATGGACTGGACCCATGGACTGGACTCAAAATTGGACCGAAAATTGGACCCGAAATTGGACTCAAAATTGGACTCAAAATTTTAGCCAAAATTTTGCCCAAAAATCCATTATTCTATCGGAGAGAAACGACCCTCAGAATATCGTGCTTTGATTTAATTTGTATAGGCAAAAAACGTCACGTTCCATCACTTTTCCTTGACCTATCTAGCTATTTGTCTTCCAAAATTCTATATTCTATTTTCTAAACGTTATCTAGGGTATCTCGTAAATAATAAACCTCTGTGAAATGTCTTTGCGCAATGGTCAGAAATACATCACATCGATATAAATCAGTTCCATATATAGTTATTTTAGTTATATAGGCTACATTTTGTGTCTGTATAATACGCCCTCTATATATTCCGGCATATATATCCTCCAACGAGTAACGAGTTCGCAAAGTTTGTTTTGTCCATACTGTATATTCTAATATTGCAACTAGCTATATGTGGGCTTATCATTATGCACATATTCTATTTCCGTTTGTCAAATATAGACGTGTCACTCGTATCGCTGAGGATGGTTCTAGTGAAATAGAATTGAAACACTGCGCGTCCTCTAAGACAAGCGTTAGTCGTCATGAAAATATTTCGTGCACTTAAATTGGATAAGACTCACTACCAATCCCTATTGACTCGATAGTTCAATAGGTAGAGCGGCGGTCTAGATACCCGAAGATGCGAGTTCAAATCCCGCTCGAGCCAACGAATTTTTCGTTGGTCGATTGCAGTGTCAGATTAATATGAAACTAGTTTTTCGTATCTCTGAGGACGGTTCTGAAATACAATATGTGCATAATGGTAAGCCCACATATAGCTATACTAAGCCTATAGTTGCGATAAATATTAGAATATATGGACAAAACAAACTTTGCGAACTCGTTACTCGTTAGAGGATATATTATATATGCCGGAATATATAGAGGGTATATATTATACAGACACAAAATGTATGTAATTAAAATAACTATACTGTATATTGATGTATACATTGATGGAATGATTTATATTGACGTGATGTATTTGTGACCATTGCGCAAAGATATTTCACAAAGGTTTATTATTTACGAGATACCCTAGATAACGTTTAGAAAATAAAATATAGAATTTTGGAAGACAAATAGCTAGATAGGTCAAGGTAAAGTGATGGAATGTGACGTTTTTTGCCTATACAAATTAAATGAAAGCACGATATTCTGAGGGTCGTTTCTCTCCGAAAAAATAATGGATTTTTGGGCAAAATTTTGGCTAAAATTTTGAGTCCAATTTTGGGTCCAATTTTGAGTCCAATTTTGAGTCCAATTTTGGGTCCAATTTTGAGTCCAATTTTGGGTCCAGTCCATGGGTCCAGTCCATGTTTTGTACTATGCCCGAGATTAAACGCCAACGCATAAATATGCTAATGACCACCCAGACTGCGAGAATGGAATTTTATGACGCGAAAATTAGCTCAATCGACGGAAAGTACGAAATGAACGTAAACTTGACCAAAGAAGAACGAGACGCGTTGAGATTCCATTGGAGAGCACCAGGAAGTGAAGTAGTCACAGTTTACAGATTCACGAGAGCGTTGTTTGGTTTAACTTGTTCCCCATTTCTACTTGGCGGCGTTCTCAACGAGCATTTAAAGTCATGGGAGGAAAAGTATCCAGATCTAGTGAAGGAAATTCGAGACGGTCTTTACGTGGACGATCTGATGACGGGGGGTGTGAACGCGCAAGTAGTGAGTGAGAAGGAAACCAATGCAATCGAAGTTTTCGAAGATGCAACGTTCAAGCTACACAAATGGCATTGCAACATTTCAGAGCTCGAAGAGAAAGAAAATATTTCGCGCCAACCAGCAACCAACGACAACGGAGAAGAAACTACGTTCGCGAAACAACAGTTGGGAACCAACCCTGAATCCGAGACAAAGTTACTTGGACTTTCGTGGGACAAATCGCAAGATACGCTAAGTGTGACGACAAACAAAGAAGAGCCAGCTAGTACAAAGAGAGGCGCACTTTCTCAGAAGAGCCAGCTAGTACAAAGAGAGGCGCACTTTCTCAGCTAGCCAAAGTTTACGACCCCCTCGGTTTGGTCTCGCCAACGACACTGCCTGGGAAGCTCCTCTATCGGGAAATGTGTGAAGCAAACCTTGCTTGGGATGGAGAATTCCCTGAAACCTTAACGGAGCGATGGGAGGAGTGGTACGAACGGTTCCCAGAACGCTACACAGTACCAAGGACATTGGCCCCCAACCAACAACCCATCTTGTCGGTTAGTCTACACGCTTTTGGTGATGCCAGTAAGGATGGAGTCGCTGCGGCCGTGTACGCTGTGATCGAACAAGAGCATGGCATAACTCAAGGTCTTGTGTGCTCGAAGTCCCGCATCGCGAAGAGGAACCTCACGATCCCACGGTTAGAGCTGTGTCAGGACATATGGCTGCAAACCTGGTAACAAATGTGGAGACGGCGATTGGCAACGAGAAAGTAACGTCGGTACATTGTTGGTTAGATTCTACCGTCGCGTTGTACTGGATCAACGGCCAAGGGGAGTACCGCCAGTTTGTGTCCAACCGGGTAAAAAAGATTCAAGAGCATAAACGGCTCGAATGGCATCATGTACCAACGAACCAGAACCCTGCTGATCTAGGGAGTCGGGGAGGAAACGTAGTCGGCAACGAGCTATGGGCTCGCGGCCCGGAATGGTTAAGTGATAAGAAAAAATGACCACCAAAAGTCATTCTCGAAGCAAGCTCGGAAGCTAATGAAGAAATCAAACATGCACGAAGTACTCAAGTGCTCACCACCTCGAGTCAACCCACAGACAGCGATGTCTTTGACAAGTTGATCGAAAAGTACCCTTTGCGAAAGGTTCTGAGAATCTGCGCCTGGATCCAGAGATTTGCCAGAAACTGTCGGACTCAACCTGACAACCGAGATTCAGGACCGTTAAAAACATGGGAAATCAAAGAACGAGATATGTGGTGGATAAAAGGGGCACAACGCGAAGCAGAAAATAGCCAGGAGATCGAAGCGATCAAACGTGAGCTTAACCTTCAGCCGAACGAGATGGGAATCCTTGAATGTCGCGGTAGGATCGAGGGCGAATACCCGATTTATCTGCCTCGGGACTGCACTTACACAGAGAAAGTGATTGAGCAAGCTCACCTCGCCACACTTCACTGTGGTGTAGGCATGACTATGGCGAATGTTCGAGAACGGTTTTGGGTCCCCAAGCTACGTTGTCTCGTTAAACGAATGCGAAGTAACTGTAATGGATGCGTGAGATTTAGAACGCAAGCGTACAACAAACCACCCCCTGGAAATTTACCCCCAACACGAACTCAAGGCTCAACGCCATTTCAAGTTCTAGGAGTGGATTTCGCAGGTCCAATTCGGTACCAATCGAAAGCGAAGGCCGAGAAAAAAGCGTATTTGGTCCTTTACGGTTGTAGTTTAACGCGAGCAGTTCACCTCGAGTTGTTGAGATCGCTAGAAGTCGCAGAATTTTTGCCCAGTCTCAAAAGGCTCATAGCGCGACGAGGTCGACCGGAGTTGATATACTCGGACAACGCCAAGACGTTTAAAGCTGCAGACAAGTGGTTAAAACGAACACAGAAAGACGAGCGGTTGCATGAATTCTTGGCTGATCGTACGATCGAGTGGAGATTCAATCTTAGTCGAGCCTTCTGGTGGGGCGGTCAGTTCGAACGCCTGATCGGGTTATTCAAACGAGCCTTCTATAGGACAATCGGTAATGGAACTCTCAAATGGGAAGAATTAGAAGAGTTGATTTTAGATATCGAAGTAGCGCTCAACAATCGGCCGTTGAGTTATTTAGAGGACGATGTCGAACTGTCGGCCCCAACCCCAAACACAATGCTAAATAGTAATCCCAGCATTCTACCCGAGTTGAAAACACACTATCTGGAAGAAACGAGTTTACGAAAGAGAGCAAAGTTCTTGAAGAAATGCAAGGAAACAATGTGGAAACGTTGGACACGGGAGTACGTGCGTAGTCTGCGAGAACGTCACTGACAATGTAGCGGTAACCAAACCTCACACCCGAAGATCGGTGATGCAGTTATTGTCCAAGACGAAGAAAGAAATAGGAATAAATGGAAACTAGGAGTTGTCGAAAACGTAATCAAAGGACGTGACGGAGTAATACGGTTAGCGAAAGTCCGGACGGCGAAAGGTAATCTCGAGAGAGCTATCCAACAACTTTACCCGTTAGAGTTGTCCTGCGAAGAGGAGAAATGGACACCCAATCCCCTTGCACCCAGTTTCGCCCCAAGGCCCAAGAGAGATGCAGCGGCGGCAGCAACATTACGCATACTACAGCAAGCACAATCGGACAGTAAAGAATCGTGACTGTATTAATATTCAGACAATATTTCGTATATTAACATTAGTTTTTTACAGGTATTCACACAGAGTGTGTGGAACTATATGACGAAGTCAGTCCCTTGTGGTCATATGTCTCAAGACTGAGCTATATGGGAGAGTGTTTCGGGCTGACAGAACAGATAAGCCAATTCTATAACATTTTTCATAGCTAATAATTAGTGCATGACGTAGCCTTATAATGATAGATTAGAGGATAGAGTTTCAAACACTTAAGTTAGGCGTAACAGGTACAGAGAGTCAGTGTGAAGTGAATCTTAGTGTGAGACGTGAGAGTGAATGTAACAACAGTAACAACAGTGATTTGTATAGCCCGTGCGCTAATTTGGGATATCGTGATTGTGAGAATTTTACCTTTTAATACTTTATTTTTATTGTGGATATTTTAATAAGACCTATAAACCAAAAAGAGTGATTGTGTCGAGAACTACAGTTCAACGGAGGGAACATTTTCGACAAAAAGTTACAACCACAAAAAGGCATTTTTAAATCGCATAATGTTGTTAGATCGAAAAAGTATTTTTGTAAAACATTTTATCACATGACAATGACGTCATTTTATCAAATAAGGTAATAAGAACACGAAAAATCTGAGAGCGGATTGATTACACGGTAAAAAGCCGTATTTCCCCCGTCTAAACAGGTTTTTCCTTGTACCGTTAGAAAAAGCAAAAATCCGACTTTTTTGAGTGACAACCACACTACGGAAAAACACTAGGTCAAAGACAAAGGCAAAGCTACCCCTGACTCGAATATAATGTTACGCGAAGACTTAAACAGTAATAAAATAACGCTATGAAACTAGTTTTTCAATGAAAAACCGGACCGTTTGGACGTAAAATATTAGGCTCGACTGGCTCGTACAACTTCATTCTGCGCCACTATATTTTTCGCTTGCAGAATTGCCAATTTGAAAAGTATTTTCGAAATTCTTGGTTATAATGATGATTCTATTTATTTCACAAAGCAAATCAACAAGGAATGTATAATATATTATGGTACGTTTAACATGCACCACGGGAAGTACATCTATAATGAATTACACGATGCTAAAAATTAAGGATGCTGTTCCGTTAATTCTGTAGAAACAAAGTATTTTGGCAAGAATCAATTGACGTAATACCTGCACGAAACTCGTTCCATATATCAACATTATTTGTACATAATGTCCCACCGCCTCGTTTGAATTGGCCTTCCTATAAAATAGAAAGATAAACATTATTGAACGAGGCCATACCATACTAAAACCAGTTCAGCAATAATCAACGAACATTAAATTGAGTTTGTAAGGTAAAGTATAATGCCTGCAAAACAGGCGTTTTGGCTGAGCCTGGCTATACCCCCGCGCGTTTTCTGATTTGCATACTAAGTGTTATGCATGCAGTATTACAGTGAAATGAATATAACTGAACGCTGTCTCCAATCGGAAATTTGAAGCCAAATTTGAAGGCCAGTCTTTTCACGCATGCGAAGAGCACGGACAATCCGTCTACATGAATATGTATTTTTCAAAATCGGCTTAAAATTTACAAAAAAAGCTATTAAACTGATTAAACAACGCTAAAAACTTTCTATTGATACATCTATTCAGGTAAAATGCCCTAGTACTAGTAGACTTCACTTTTAGTTGTTTTTTTTCTTATTAAAACGGCATGCTCGCTCCTGCGGGTCTCGCGAGGCATAACACGCGCGGGTCTCAAATTTTGCTTCAAGGAAAAGATAGGCAGCTTATCGGAAGGTATAACGTTCCAGTTATATTAATTCCACTGATATTATATACTCGACGAGCGATAACGTCATCGGCAAACAAGAAGCAACTTTGTTACTTTACTTAGATCACTCCTGATTAAGTCACGACAGGAGTCAGGAGAGTAGCGCACGTAAACATGACTGATATTAATTATACCTGGTTGCCGTGAACTAACAAAGAATCAGAGTACAGAACAGTAGTAAAGTCATTGATTTAATTTAGTTAAAAGGAAAAGTCCAGTCAGCTTCTTCGTAGTAAGATGGCTTCACTATATATATAACCGACAATATTATTTAAGTGTTAAGTGTTTAATCATAATCAACTCGTATGCTGTTTACAAGGTAACAACATAAAAAACTTGATTTTACATGGATTGGTAAAGTTAAATATATACTGTATACTACTGTAGGCTATATAAAAATTATATTTACAAGATTATATTTACGAGATATATTTACAAAATTTAAAAGATTATTATATTCAACAATTTAAGATTTGTTTAACAGGTTAAGATATAAAAATTGGAAGTTTAGACAAACTCGTCAATTGTCACTAAAGACAATTGTCAAATAATTTAATGGCTAATTGACATATGACTGATTTGCTATATCTGCAGTCCGTTTTTGTTCAATTCAATTCAAGCAATTTTTAATCAGGAAGCCTACGTCACAATAATGTGTTTTTCAGTAGGGTCCTTGTTTTAATCATTGGGAAATATCGCGTTTCTTAATGGATAGGAGTGTTCTTTGCGGGGTTCTGTATATACAGGGTATATCAAAATAAACGCAATTATCTTTTGTGCTTAATAACTTTCGAAATACTATTTCTAGTTAGACGCTTTTAGGCTTACTTGAAAGCCTGTTCTTTTCTTTTTCAAACAAACTATTATCCTTGTCTCCAATGCTAGTAATAATTGCACAGGAAAAGATTTAATAAAACCTATCATTTTTAGTTGCTGTTTAATTATGCAAGTTTACTATGTTATTGTTTAGTCGGTTTAAATGTTAGAATTTTCTTCTTTAAACTTTAATGTTGTCGTCACTACATCTGGAAAACCACGTAAGAACAAATTAAAAGTATTTTAAAAGAGACCAGGTTGTTTGAAAATCCTAAACGAATGCTAAAAATCATAGAATCAAAACATTCTGGTGTCTGAGCCAGAGTGTCATCGAATTGCGATGTAATGTAAACAGAAATTATAACAAGCTGATGTCAGTCAGCTTAGATGGTCCAAGCCAAAATTATATCGCATTTGAAGTTTCAAACTGTGTTAAAAATAGTGGAAGAAAAGCCGTAATTATACTTATTGTTACAATCCATTTATTAAAATGCAACATTTTTTTGTTTTAATGAAAAAATCAGTTATTTTCATGAGAACGATTTTTTATTCCATCTCAATTTTTTTAATCTCCAATCGCAATAACGTAAAGTATTATTAGCCGCGAACCAATGAGTCAAATTTAAGAAACAACCCACTGTTAGAAAGCTGAATGGCTACGCTTTAAAATGAATGTAAACTTTAACGTTTTCGTCTATTATTTGTTTAGCAATTTACATTTCAGTCGAGGATTGCGCTTTTTTTGATACACCCTGTATATATATATATATATACAGGGCGCGAAATAACGGCTGGAGGATCGCCGATCAAGGTGACCGACCAAATCAATTTTATCTCGGACATACCGAATTTCTGGCCGGTCAAATTATTCAGCTTAAAGCATAGTAAAGTATACCCCTAAAAATGTGACTATTTTCCCAGTATAGCATTACAAAAACTGAGCCTTGTAATCGGAACCGAACTGAACTGTAATCCTTCACATAAAACAACTTGCACTGCGCTAAAACAATGGCCTTAATTAACTCTTAAGCGAAAAGCATGGCCATGGGCTTTGTGACGTACTGCGTGGGAAAGCTGGCGTACATTGAAGTTCTTTTCCCGCTAGATATTGGACAACATGTTATGGTTCTTAATTATAATGCTTGACAACTTTGTTTTGATTATTAATTCAAATGAAGATTAGTTGTTTGTTCTTTTACCAAAAGTAACCGGTCAAAATGACCGGCAAGGTAAGAATTTGAGCGGACAATTCCGCATTCTGGGCGGACATTGTCCGTTGACCGGCCGTTATTTCGCGCCCTGATATATATATATATATATATATATATATATATATATATATATATATATATATATATATATATATATATATATATATATACTATATATATATATATATATATATATATATATATATATATATATATATATATATATATATATATATATATATATATATATATATATATATATATATATATATATATATATATATATATATATATATATATATATATATATAAATATACATATGTTAGTTGTGTATATTAATATAATAATAACTATATTAATAATAACTATATTAATAATAACTATATTAATATAAACGAGTATGTTTATGACATTCAGTATATATTTCATAATTTCCAGTCTTAAATCCGTCTGACCGTGTAGCTCAGTAGGTAGAGCGTCGATCTAGTAATTCGAAGGTCGCGGGTTCGAGACCCAGCAGCGGCAGACAACATCTTTCTGCTTGCGCTGGGTATGGAAATTATATAATACACACTCTAGAACATTTTCATCTTAATATATATATATATATATATATATATATATATATATATATATATATATATATATATATATATATATATATATATATATATATATACACACATATATATGTATATATATATATATATATATATAGTTATATGTAGTTAGATTTCGCTCTATGGCCTTTAGGTCATATTGAGCGCTCCACAGGATGAGCCATGCCGCTTGCGCATTGCGCACGCTCACTGCTTGCAGTTTGAGCGCTCTGGCATGGTTTTGATGTCCCACAATCGTGAGGCATCAAAGGTAACTGTAAATAGCAGTTACTTTCATCCTGCTCATCAGTCATCAGGCCCATAAGGCCGAAACGGTACCGTCTGTATATATATATATATATATATATATATATATATATATATATATATATATATATATATATATATATATATATATATATATATATATATATATATATATATATATATATATATATATATATATATATATATATATATATATATATAGAATATATATATATAGAATATATATATATATAGAATATAGAATATAGAATTAGGCTGTTTACAAAAACATTTGGCAGAG